TTTTATATCAGATACTTAACGCTTACTTGGAAGGTGGGAGTGACGAAGATTGCTCTGAGGCTAGCTCCCCTGGTGTGGATTTTTCTCCAATTTCTCCAGACGCTGCTGAATATTGGCTTACAAAGGCTTTACGTTTGCAACCCCAATTATCCGGGGCTTGGTGTGAGCTCGGAGAAGCCGCCTGGAGACTTGGTGATGCTGTCTCTGCAGTTAATCACTTTAAAAATGCCCTGAAATACAATGTAGGTTATTTTGCTTCAATATTTCTTTATCTTAGCTTGGGCTTCCGTTTTTATTCACCGACACTGAATTTATGTTGCTTAATCTTGAGTAAAACCGCACTTTTTTCACTAACATTTGAAGCTAATTTGTCTTAAAGTCAATATTCTGATTAGCATCCTTTTTTGTTCCATTATTCTTGGAGATCGCATTTGTATTATTTTTTCCCCTCCGCTTTGTTAAGTATATCATTCCATATGATAGTCATTTGATTGCCTTCTTATATCAATCTATCTATCCTTTAATCACGCTACGCAAACAGATATTTAACTGTGTTAATGCACTCATCTATTGGGCATATCATGAAGCAATTACCAATAACCTCTTTATATTGCATTTATAGGACGTGTTGTTTGAAAAAGATCTTCGCTCTTATTCCGCCTCATTTTACGTAAATGCTTTTGATTTTCATCTTAATTGTACTATAGACTCTTCGCTATGTAATTTTAAAGCCTACAAAGAATATAGATTTCATTCACTAAACATGATTTTTCCTTGCTTAGTCTATTATGATTGATCCTTTCCGGTAGATACATCAATATATTGTAATTCTGAATGTGTTTATAGGATTCTTGTGGGTAACTATAGCTCTTTCGTTTGACTGAGATCGTCAAAATATCAGGTGCTTACGAGATATCCCATATAAAGTGGAAGTAATAAGGCTGATAAGTTTTATGTTACATTGCACCCTCAACCTCAGAGATTATTCAAGCCAAAATTATAACTTCTTTAAATGGATAGTTTCGATCTGGCTAGTCTGTTGCTCTTGTTTTTACACTTTTATTTAAGGAAATCATGTCCTGAAATGAGAATTTATCTTATTTTTTCACAAAAGGTCTTACTTTTTTGAAATTATGCTTTTGTCTTGACTGAGCTCTCGAACCATGAGAAGCTATTATTATTGGCACTAAACCAGCAGAATTTCATAATAATCTGTCCCAGCCTAAGGATTATTCATGGACTTGATTATCTTTATTGTCTACAAAATGAATAAGCCTTTTTTGTGAACTTTCAACCCTGCTATTCTTCATGCTACAATATCATTTAATCTAGCGAAAATTCCCCATAATCACTTCATATTTATCGCTACTTAGCCGAACTTTCTTAAATTTCCTATACTCTTACCTCTATACTGGAGGCCTAGATGGCTTCATTCCTACGCCACGTCATAAATTCATACATCCAAACATAGTTCTCCGTACCACTTAGCTATTAATATTTCACCATTTGGCTTTCACAGTATTTCACTGTTAATTATTCATCTTTCTCCCTCTCACAAATTCTTAAACTCTTCTCTGATCATGATACTTCATCCAGCCGAACCATGTTAAATCACTTTGTCAGCTGTCGATGGCTTTGCGCCAACTCTCCTCTAGCCAGGGCCCATCAAACCCAGAAGTAGCGACGGCCATCACAGACAAGGATCAACTAAATTCTGTCACTATTAATAACTCCACATCCTGTGCTGTGTCTTCCTCCAAACCAGAGCATAAATACGCTTCCGAACTGTGTGATGAGAAGCCTTTCTCATCCGATTTTAAAACGCCTGAAGATTCAAATACTTCCTCTAAAATCGCAACGGCCTCATTGCCCCCCCTTCTTGAGTCGTTGAATCTTGCACGTCGAGCAGTCCAACAGAGCCCAACAGACGGAACCGCTTGGTCGACACTTGGCAACGCATTGTTCTCTTATTTCTTCTCGACCTCTCTTGGCCCTAGAGTTCGCATCACCTCCTGTCCAACTGCAGGCACGGAGCTTCGCCAGTGTTTAGCAGCTTATGCACAGGGCGCACGGGATCTGCGAACCGCACTTGAACCGAACTTCCACTACAATCGGGGAGTCGCATGCCACTATCAGGTTATTGTCTGATAAAACCCGAATTTCCTACTTATATCAATATCCTATATCAAACCCATTGCACATATGGGGTAGCTATTGCCACTATAGATTAAAGGAAAATGGATGTAAGGTAGATTCACACACAAATACTGTTTTCTAATAATCATGGCATTTTTCGTCCCATTCCACGCTACAATTTATTTTTTAATGTGTCTGAGTCTTTTGATAATAACCTGTCATCTCACTGATATTTACCATGTTATATTGCTTAAAATATATATATATATATATATGAAGTTCATCCTAACTATGCTTCCTTGTTCGATAAATTGTCTTACTTAAGAGTTATGCAACATGGTCCAACTTCTCCAGTATATATATATATGTCATCTATTTAAGCGCTTTATTCATCATGTTCAACTAATTTTTTATAATTATATTTATCTTTTTCCTCACTTTCTCTCCTGTTCCAACCTTATCGAAAACGTCGATTATTATGAAGACTGACTATATAAAACTCTGAGCAAGTACTGGATTCATATTTTCAACTTGGTCGGAACAACAGGGAGACGTAGGTGCATAGTCTTGCGTCTTCTGCCATAGAATTCATGATTTATTAGCATAGAACCATTAACCTACTATATTCCTAGACGTTTCGCTGGGATTGTCAATGAGAGGCAAGTTATAAGTTGTAACTTTGTGCTAAAGATGGCGCCTCTTACTGACGATGTAGCGATGATGGAAATCATGAATAATATGGCAGAGGACGCAGGACTGAGTACGCTCTATGATGTCTCCCTATTACCCCAACCAAATTACGAAAATGAGGTCAAACCGACGCTATACGGTTAAAGGAAACTGCGAACAAAAAAAAGTTCGCACCATCTTAGTTTTCATATCTACAGATAAATTAAGAAACTCGTTAATTACAAAAAGGAATAACATTCACTTGAAAAATGGCTATTTATTTAAAACATTCTCATTACCTGTGATATACATCTGCCCATCCACATTAAAAAATAATAATTTAATCTAAGATATTTATTAGCTGAACTACACCGTAACTATATTTCTTTTAGTGCGTCACTCATTTATAAAAAGTCACTACAAAGTTGTACGAAGAAATTTCTAAGTGGTGGCTACTAACCAGATTCATCTTTCCCACAAACAACTTTTTGTCTTTTTGAGGCAGGATAACTTC